TGTGGAATCCGCAAAGTGCAGTGCTTATCGAAACGAAACACAAGAACTGAACAGCGGATGAGACAGTTTTATTTATCGTTGTTTTTCATTTTCAGAACTATTCCGATAATTGTAATTATTCATTTTATCTGCATGTGCACAGTGATAAATGCTTTCTTATTGTATACAATTCTAAAAGAAACTTCTGCATATTCATTTCTTTAAGTAAGGTAAGTTTAAAAATAGTCACGTGGTTCAAACTAAGAGTTTTCTAATAACTTTTGCAGACAATTTTGCTGACTTTCAGTTATAAGGTAAAGATATATATTTGCTTGGTACTAAAACTGTTCTGTCATTTTTTTTCTTGTAGTAGATATAAGGTGTCTGCCTGAAGCTTTCTGTCGAGGAATTATATATTCGGGCATATTGGTGATGGCGTTTATGATATCAGTAGGCAGTTCCGTTCATTTGATCAAAAAGTAATTGATATTGGAGTGTTCCAAAAACGAGCTAACCCTTATTCTGATAAAATCGAAAGTGATTAACCTGTATCTTGATATCCCTTTAATTGGACAGTTCCAAAAACGGAAGCTGGACAAGTCTTTTTAAAACATAACTAACAAACAAACAAACAAACAAACAAACAAACAAACAAACAAACTAATAACTAACTAAAAAACAATAGAAAAATAAACTAAACATCATATTTATTTGTATTTAATTCGTATAAAATATCCTATTATCAGAATAAATGTTGATCACTTTATTTTCTACAATATTTAAACGAAAACATACGAGGATGCAATAATATAAAGCATGTTCATATTTTAGTTTCCTTATTCTTGATGCATTCATCTATGAGCTGACCATCTGGTAAAATTATATATCCAACATTTTATCCTCCTTGATAAAACCTTATCCATGAACTTCCTTAATTCTAAGATGGCATCCACTTATCTCTTTTTCTCCATTCTGTATTAGTTCAAAACTGAAAACAAGTTTATTCACTGGAAAGTAAACAGTGTCATATGAAGTTTGTACGTTGGTCGTAGGAACAATTATTTTCCTATTTTGGAATTCAAGTAGAATAGTAAATTTTCTCAATTTTGGTAATAAAGATTAATGTCTAAAGCTTTGAATAACGTGACAACTGTTCGTTCATGATATATGGTTATATTATCTATAAAACAGAAACAAATGGTGACGTGAGTCAATGTGGTGGAAGAACTCCGGGTAATGTATTCAACATGAATCAAATTTTCTTCTGTTCCCCCGTTTTAAATATTTACTAATTTAAAGATAAATATACTGACATGTAAAATTACAAGACAGATCTGCTGACTTTTTATCTATATAGATCAATGAAATACACGAAGGGGAACACGTAATGCGATTTAATATTTGTATACATAATTCTAATCTTGTTATGACATAAAATACATTTTAACATCTTCATCATTATAAGTTATAAAATTACAATCGTTTTAAGGATGAGGGAATACTCAAATGTACTAGAGCTTAGTGATTTATTTAAGAATTAATGTTTGTTCCAAATTTGAACAAATTATACTTGACGCAAGAGCACACATAATACGTGGTTTATTTTCTTTATCTTTTTACTTTTGTATATTTTCCACTTCTTTTAATCGTGCGTCTCATTATATACCATGCATATTATTTCAGCTGTTCGTATCTGCAAACACTCGGAAGTAACTATGGTTACTAAAGTTTTCATAGAAACTGCCGATGTACCGCCACGTCAGATTAATAGATGTAAATGCAATGTAACACCAGCATTATTGAACAGCAGCGTTTCACTTTTCTACCGGAAGATTTCGCGGGAAAGTAAAAACGTTTATTTCAAATTTCAAGACATCCTGTTAAACAAAACAGAAGAACGTGCTAACTCAACTTTTACTAAAGAAAATGAGCTGGTTTTGGAAACAACATCTGATTTCAACATGAAGGATGTTTGTCTTATTATTTCTGCAGGTAAACTATTTAGGCGCGGTCACGTCAAATGAACATTAAAATTACCCCCCCCCCCAAAAAAACAAAAACAAAAAAAACAAACAGATAAACATAAAAACACATTAAAAGGTTTTGACATTCATGATATTATTCTGAGCTGATCATACTACAGGTGAAATAAAACTAACAATTTCCTAAATGTCTTGCACAATTAAACAAGTACATGTTCATAACGACAAATGACTTGTTTACAAAGTTAAAAGTAGATTGCCAAATGAATTCAAACAAAAAATATTCTTTTCTTTCAAATAATTGATAATACAAATGAAAAATTTTTCGGTTTTAAATACAGATGATGAATCAACATTTAATATATCCTGTGATGAGTCACAATGGGCTGTTACACAATCCACGGTTCCAGAGATTACGATAAGTGAACTTGAGACAAGCATAAATTCAACATTAGAAAATAGCAGTGATATCTGTACAATTGGTATGATGCGAAGGGCTTTTATAGAATTTCTATATAAATCACCAATCTCCTTCTAATTTTGTTCTGATAAATATGAAACTTAAATAGATTATCAATTACGGTCTGAAAATATATAGATTCACAAGGATGACTAATTGTCTTTCATATAAAAAATAATTCAATTAATGATAGTACGCAATTCTCAACTCGACTCTATTTTAAAGTTAGATGTTTTTAAGTCCATGTGTTGATATATCCAGGCTGTTATAAAATAAATGTCTTTTTTTTATTTCACATCATTAAATCAAAGTCACTAAATCCTTTTCAACAGATTCATTACAGTCATAATCTTACTTATAACTTTGTTTCAATGTATTTTAGGTATCGCTACTGGCGGGATTGTGTGTGTTATTGTGGAACTTGTTGCAATTCTTATAATTTGCTACAAAAGGTTGATTTTTGTTTATTTTAAGAGTTTGTTGTTCCTGTTTTAATATACAAATATATATGTTTTAGTGGTGCACAAAGAATGCACAATTGTTCAAAAGAATGCAAAACAATTTGACAAAGTAAAAAAAAATTTTTTTATATCAAATAAGATGATTTATGATGTTTTTTTGTTGAGGGATAATGAAAAGTGCAACATCCATCACTCCCTAGCACCGGCTTGAGCGGTACTGAAATCTCATCACTTAATAGTGATGGCATCAATGATCCCGAAGGGCCAGACAAAATCCTTAAAACTTTAATCAGGTAGAAAAATGTCTTTATTTAAAGATGTATGATGCTTAATTTGATATTTGAAAATACTGAAAAATGCTACATAATCTTTTTTTAAGATAAAATAAACATATATTTTGTAAACACAAGAGATTATATATAACGTGCTAATTTATACACACTTCAGATAAACTCAATATGACTAGTATCTGCCTGTCAACCCAGAGATCATGGTTTCGATCCCTAATCGGGTCACGACCATGTTTCTTCATATGACAGCAGTACTGGTTGGATCCTGGAAGCGGACTCAAAAGTGATAAATATAAGTTGCAAGAACTTGTTTTGCAATCGGGCTTAAATAAATATATTTAAACCGAATACATACATGTATAGTATTAATAAAATAAATGACATGTAAAAGAAAAAATAAAGTACTTAATTTACTGGACCAGCAATAGGGAAAGCAGCTTCCTATACATGGTTTGTGCAATCTCTTATTCAAAATAGACAAATTCAGTAAAATAAAATGCCAATATACCAACAAATATCTGTAATGAAGGAATTTTACCGGATAAATGTGCGTAGTAGATCTTAAAAAAAAGTTGAAATTCATTGTAATATCGACTAGTTATTTGAATTTATCATTTATTATATGCAGGGGAGCCTATAAACAGAAGAAAAATGTGAGGACACCAAAACTATCACAGGGAGAGAATGAAACATCTGCAAGAAACGACGGAGGTGATAATGATTATTATATGACAGAGAATCCTTTGTATAACATGACTGAACCCATGATGGACAAAAATGAGTCCCCTCTATATTTGCTGGTTCAAAAACATGCACCGAATGATGAACAAAGGATGGAAGCATATGATGATAATCCAGACTTACCAAATAATTCAAGTCAACCTTTGGCGTTCCAGCAAAGTTGACTTTGAAAAGTTTGGTGACGCTACTGACAGTGAGTACACTGAAATCGGAAATGTCGATGTTGTCAGTGGTCTTTACAATCAAAGGAATCAGATAAGATAAAGTTATCTTGAAAAACTTTTCTAAAGATACAAATAAATTGAAAACAAATATGTCAGATTGTAAAACGAACATGTCAGTATTATCGTGCATTTGCGACATGATAATGGGAAACGTCTTCCTCGACTTCGTGACCAGGAAATTTGCTTGCATTACCAATTGTATTGTATACATCGACAACCGCTAATTTCATTGGTCCTGCGTTACTTAAATGATGATATTCATTAAATCCTTTGAATGGTTGAACAGAAGCCGCATTAGTTGTATCATACATGTTGTCATTGACTGCTGAATTATCATTGTTTTGGGTAGCGTCCGCTGTTTTTGCTTTTACCGTTGGATTTCTTTTCCGGCCAGATGACACACATGTTGAATGGTCGTGGTGGTTTTCTTTGTTTATAAACTGTTTTAAATCAGGGTTACATTTTAAATCGCCACTATTTATCTGTTTTTTATGTTTAGCAGATTCTGCATAATGATACTCATTATCTGAATTATCTATATTCGTTTTGGTATCTGCTGTTTGGTACATTGGATTTTCTGTCATGTAATAATCGTCTTCTTCATCGTCATTATTTTTCTTTGTGACACCTTGGTTGGGTATTTTTGGCTGTTTATTTCTTTTAGTAGATCTTCTGGAAAAAAGGAATTTTAAAGTTTGGAAAGAAACAAAACTTTATCATAAGAATTTAACATTTTTTTCGCACACTCGAGTTACCTTATTGAACAGATACAATGAAATGAAAACTATATCACAAAACGGCCTCCATAACTTCTGATCCTCTCTAAAAAAATTAAATCTTATTTTGTTCCACCCATTGTTTTCGTTTAGGGCACAAAGATTTTTTAAGTTGGCATTTATGTAATATGACGAACATGTTACAATATGGTTCAATAAAAACTTCCGTATAAATACATCTGTAAATGTTTCTAAATTCAAATGTTCAACATTTTCAAGATTACTGCTTAAGTCGGTGCTAGGGGCGTAAACGGTAGCTTGTATTTACCAATTTATAAAGAGGCTTAATCAAACCGAGCTTATAACGTGATCAATGTTGTCGTTTGGTGCGTTCAAACGTTTCAATTATTGGATATTTGAACCAATTTGCACACTTATTTCCGGAGTGAATATCATAGCTATATGAGGAATACAATATGAAAATCATATGAACAAGTATCGAACTAACCTTCTGCAAATTATAACGATAAGTATTACAACTGCCACGCAGACGAAAACAGCAATAGAGGCCGCCACAACTGGTACTGAAATACAAAACATTGCTTTTATGATAATATTGCATGTACGTTAAGATAAAACAGTGGTAACTTCATTGGTGCTGATGAAATCTGAAAGTTTCTTTATTACATTAAAGAGAATAATATATTTGAGTTCAAAATATTTAAATGTTTATTAATATTTGATGCTATTGCAGTCAGTGCACGTTCCTTTGTAATTACGCAATTGCAGAGAATGTTGTATCAAATAGTTGTATATTTATACTTTCAGCAATATTTACAGGATTTTGCGCGCTAGTAAAATATGAATATGCAAATAAAACAGACACTGCTAATGCTAATTTTCTCTCTTATCACTGAATACATACCAATGATGTTATTTTCTTCTTTGTCAGCTGTTTTCCTTACATATTTGTCCGTCACAACACTTGAATTAGGGTATGGCAATGACGTTGCTATTGACGTTGATGGCTTCACCGGTGTACGATTGCATACAACGTTGAAAGTAGTATCTAAAAATATAGTTTTAGATATTAGCATTGTGTAAAATATATAGCACCTTGGTAAAAACATTTTCAAATATTTCTTAAAGTAAGGAACTATGATACTGAAATATAATCATAATAGATAGGAATCAAATGTACACTGCAGAAAGCAAAATGGAGATAAATGAAAAAGTATACAGAATACATAAATGTAAGTAAATCTCATTTTGTCAGTGACTAACTGAGTCTACGAGGGGATGTTCGGAAAATACGTAGACTTTCTTCCTAAACTCTAAACGCGACACAGGAGAATAAACAAAGTCACACTTATGTTTTTAATCAGGTGCCATAAATATATATTAATCGGATTACAGATTGTCGTGTCACACGGCTTAGATTTGCCATAGTAACAACAACCGTGGGGCAACCCAAAATTTATTGATGTCTATTCAGCTATAAATGTGACTGATTGTGTTTTGCGTCGACATATATTTTTAAAATTATGAATAGACGTTTCAATGTCACTGAAAATTTGTTCGTCATTCCAACGCCGGTAATTGATGTAAATAACACTCAGACAGCGACAGGTCATTTATAGATTAAACGTCATCAGAACAAACTCATAAAATTTTGTCAGGGCCAAACACCGACGTCTGACCGTTCGGGAGCTGAAGAAGATGTTTTACCCGTACCACAGTAACGTTACATCCAATTAAAGATGTCAAAGGTAGAGATGCATTAATATTCATGTTCATGTCAAATTAATTTGATAATATTTGTTATAAATATGTTGAGAATATTATTATAATTAATTTTATCCAGATTATTTTAAGTATGCCGTTATAGAAATTCATCATACGATATATTTGTTGAAAAGCGTGATTTATATGTACCCTACAAAATCAGATTGATCATTGCAAGATGATAACTCCTTGTTAATTACAATGTAATTAGGTTCACGCTAGATGGAGGATTTTGCGCTGCTCTCTACCATAAAGGCAAAAGGGAAATAGGTTCCAGACACTTGCATAACTTCGAATTGTCACCAACAACATTGTCACTGAATACAATGAGTACTGGTATAGGTGAATCTACCGCGATCAACATTGCATCGAGTGCAACGGCGAGTATTTTAAAAAGTGTTGACTTTAATGTGACGTCGCATTAAATTGACGTTCAACTTGGGCCGGCATGTGATATGTGCATGTTTTAATTCTTCATTTACATGTGCTTCTCATTATTTGTTTTGTACGAAAAAACACATACTTAATGCAAAAAGACTAGAATAATTAAACAGGTGTTGATATCTAAAAAAAGTCAACGTATTTTACAAACATTCTTCGTATCCTGGTCGAACTGGAATAATAATCTGAAATGGTTCAAATAATTACAGATAATATTGACACAATCTAAATATTGAACCTAAATGTGCTATCAATTAGCAAACTTCAGATTCATTTATTTTTAGTTCAATAGCATCAGAAACTCATTCATAAACCAGACACCTAGAACTAATTACACACAACTGACATAGTTAAAATAATATGTAGAAGTTACCTGACTTTATATTCATGCTTAAGGAAACCATTAAGCAAGCACTTTCATGTGTGTAATTGTCATTAGTAAGGACGGAAAGCGTTAGACTGCGATCCTCTGTTGTGAATGTATGTTGCTCTCCTGACATTATTTCATTATTGTTGACTTTAAAGCTTAAGCTTTGAGGAACCACACCATCAACAAAAGAGAATGAAATATCAACGTCTGAAGTGTTTGAAGTTATCGAACACTCACAAAGTGTCTGCTGAAATTTTGGAACTCCTTTTGTAGTTATGTAGACCAATTTTTGTGCCGTCAAAGTGTTGTCTTTGCATATTTCTACAGCTAAATGTAACAAAACAAAAAACGGTTAAAATATTATAATCGACATGATACTTTTGAAAGTAAATTTATCCGGCAGTATATTTATTCCTAATAAAATATCAATGGTGTATTTATTTTGCATATCTTTTAAATTTTAGTTTTGAAATAGTTCATCCTTGGCGTTTTCTTCAAGGAAAGGAAGAACACTTATCGTCTCATTCTGCAAGTATATGCATATTTAAAAAAACATCGATTATAATATTATATCTTAAAAACAACAACAACAAACAAAACTTTAATAATGTTCGACCTGATCTGCTGGCTTTGGACTGTGGTATTGGTGGAATTGTTATCTGAGTACAGACTGGGTATCCCTTTTATATAAGAGATAGCACAGGACAGTAATTTCACTTCGATATATACTTAAAAATCCTTTTGAATTGCATTATTGTCTCATTATGATAAACATGTTTTTGGCAAAAGTTCAAAAGATATTGAGCGAACATTATCTTTGAAGTGTACCCAAGGAATCCAAACATGTTCTTTGAATATTGCCGTATTATGGTTAACATTTCTGCGAAAAAGTTTCTATTTCCTTCCATCGTTTCAAAAAATACCGAAACGACATAACATTGCTAAGGGACAGGAGGACAACAAAGAGCATAACATTTTACGCTGGAATTCTTTTGGGTGCATAAAAGAGAGTGGGAGGGACAGTGTTCTTTATTGATTACACATGCACACTTATTATTTAATAAATTATCTCTCTGCTATCAATAGCTAATATTGTGTAACTCCAATATTCGCATTGCATTTATATATTTTTGACGGACTTTTCGAGAGAATAAAATGCATATTATCTCAAGTTGTTATTTTGTTTTATATCTGTCGTAATTGATGCATTAGAAGTGCGTACATCTTTAAAGTATTCTAAAGCAAGCGTAAACGGATGTATCATGTCCACATCGAGTCCTGTCTATATTTACATACATGCATGTGTCTTTAAATAACGTACTCCTGAAACAAACTCGATATACTACGAGATTTAAGAGATGGTACACTGTAGCTCATTATTGTCAAAGAAAAGTAAATATCAGCTTATGTATGTATAAATATGTAAATATCTTTATAATTATAAGAATTGGTATTTATCACGAACGTACCTGGTTTATATTCATTGCCACAAAGTCGTAATTGACCGTTTAAATCTGAAATACATAATTATCGTAGTATAATAATAGTTGCTTATTACATAGTTAGTATTACCATATTCAATATCAGATACTTAACTGCAATTTCATGTTTTTGTATTATGAGTCAACAAGTCAGTATTATGCAATAATCTAAAAAGATTTCCAAAAATAGTTCATGGGATATTTCAAACTTAACATTAAACAGTGAAGTTTTGAATCGATTAGCTTTATAAATTACCAATTGCTATCGTTTAATTCGCCTATGACATAGATAAGATGAGTTTACTTACCATCTATACAACATATCATAAGGAGGAAGAAGAATAAAATCATCATTGATATCCTTGTTTCAACAAATAATATAACTTTGCTTCGTAAACAACTAGTTAACCATTTCAAAATACCTCACATAAACTCGTTTCCAATACGACATACATAAAACAAATTGACTCGACGGTTAAGTTAAAGATTTAGAATAGTAATATGGTTGAGCGATTTTTGTATATAACCACATCCTACCTTTTCATGTAATGTATTTATTTCTATTTTTACATTTACCTCGGGTAACTGCAATACTGAATGTGTAAATAATTTTACATTCTAGTGAGATCTATCGTGTTCGTTAATTATTGTTTGTATTTTTTATGCTGAGCTCGTCTTTATGACTTTCTCGATAACAAATCAAAATACTCGTAAAAAATAAAAAATACCAATGCCTAACATTCGAGTTAGCCGTTGTACGTATAACTATACGTAGTCAAAAATATTTATGCATCATACACAGAAATGCCACTTATTATATAGGTAAAAAAAGAAAAATCGTTAATTTATCTCTCACCCCCCAGCTTGACTAAGCATATATTTTTATTGATAAAATATAAGTTAAGCAAAAGTACATGTTTCATCATGAACAAATAAGGTTTAAATCAAACTAGATTTTTCATTTTGTTGTTACCGAGTATTCTCCCTTTATCCAGAATATTTAATTTATCTGGATGTCGTTTTGATTCAACAAGTGCTCCTATCAGCGCAACTTTATGCGTCTCAAGGATGTGCTTATACAAGCATAGCAGTTTTAAAAAAATTGACTCAATATTATTTTTTCTAATAAGGGTCTGTGTTTTCAATGAAACAACTAAGATAAAATCAATATTTTATCTTACATAGCAAACCTAGATTAACAATCATCTTATATTGATCTCATATATCTTAAATAAGCCCTTTATGTAATAAAATAATTAGAAAATATTAATATTTAGGATATATATTTTCGATTTGCTCATCTATTGGGATGCAGTTTACAGGGAACACAACCCATTGTAAGGACTTAACATGTCTGACAGCTTACAGAAGTGTTATTTACGGTTATCAAAAGTATCGTTCAACAACATTTTAAAGAAAAGTGTGACATAAAGTTGAATAAAATAACAATGTATCAAAAACAAAGTGTAGCATTCAATTGAACGAACAAAGTCCACATTGTCCATAGAAAGTTTGACATAAAATATACAACAAAGTCCTGGAATATATAAGTGAAATATAAAATGATATCATTTGTCATGAAGAAGCATGATAAAGATTCCGTATAAAGGGTGATGGAGAGGAAAGAAGAAAAAAAGACAAAAAGTATCTCTAAGTTAAGAGGTGAAAAACAATTACAGCGAATTGAGACCAATGATTAAATAATAACAAACTAGGAGTAAAATAAGAGAATATGTGAATGGGCCCATCTAACAAAAATAAACTAATTATATCATTACATTTTATAGATTTTTGTTTTATTTAAAATTTTAATTTAAAGATACATATGGAGATAAGATAAAAGACAAACTACCGTTCTAGACGTGTAAAATGCAAGATCAGTCAACTGGTGTCTAAGCAAGGTAAAGTCTAAAACAACAAAGTCAGAACAATCTCTAGCAGGGACTATTTTAAAAGAGTAAAAATATTGTTTCTTTTCTAATCTAAATTCAAAGACACACGTAGATAATAAAAGCATGATATTTTACTATTACATAATTGTATATGGTAAACGACGGTAAGGTTCACTTATGGTCAAATTTGGGCCTGTCTTAGAATTAGCTCGAACATATGTATGAGAGTACTATGTCTATCGTTGTAAAACACCATTCATATTTGCAAAAACATCAGCTAGGCGTTGCCATGGCCTTTCGTTAAAATGCTTTGAAATTATCTGTGATTACACAGTCAGTACACCTGTATATAGTTAGAACTAAGATTTATTCAGTATGTCCACAGTCTTAAATGTTAGTTCATATAGTTGTGTTACTGCTAACTTGGAAAACAGAAGATGTCTTCATCAAATATTTTACTGTATCCCTTTATTATTTACAACTCAATAGTTTTACATAGTTATGCTTTTTATCTGAATATTTGTTCTTTTAAAAAAGAAATCTTACCTTATCCAAACAATTTAATATTGGTCAGATTTGAATTTATCATATTATTACAGGTGCGCATGTGGTGAAATTATCTAACAAAACTCTAAATACATGTACTCGTAAAATACACTCTATTAATTCTAAAACATATTTATATAAGCTTCGCAAGTTATATCATTCATTTAAGTCACGTGTAATTTCAATTTTAGGTTAAAGGGAGCTAATGGCCTTAACGTCACTCGTGTGTGTTCCTTAATCATTCGGCAAAGTTAGTCTAGACCAAGTTCATTCGTCTGTTTGTAGTGTTTCGTACATCTGATCAGTTGCGTTAGCTTTATATCTTTCATATTCAGGTGACGAATTCTTACGGTGTATGCCGTCACCAAAACTACCTTTTCCGGGATTATTTTTATACTCGTTTTCCAAATTGTTTGTGTCCGACTGTTTGATACTAATGTTTAGATATTGACTAAAATGAAGTAAAATAAATTATAGAAATGAATTGTTATAATAACCATCTTCGTGTTGTATTGAACGTACGTTATATGTGCGATGTACATTGTATATTGCAGACACATACTTTAGTTTTATAAGAATGGTGGTGCAAATGACATTAATTGTTTTCCCTGTAGATAATGCAACATTTACATTTATCACTAAATGTTAACCATTTTGAGAATTTTCAAAACATTTTATCTAAATACTATTCAATTCTTGAATAACTATTTAATTCGTTGTAGATGTATATCGAGTCTAATTAATCATAGTATGTTAAGGGACAGAAAATATAACACTTAATATATCAAGCTTGGAAGACATAAATAAAACTGCATTGTGTGCATCGATTATGTATTTTATTCCTTATTCAAAATTCATTGTATTGATAATTACTTATCATTTATCTATGACATTCGACATTGCAAATTTGTTATTGTTTTTTAAATTGTGTATTTACCTTTCGCCATGTGAATTGTTTGTTTCTTTATATAGATGCTGGTACATGTCACCCGATGTAGTATTTCCTTGCCTGTCCAGACCGTCATAAGCATTTTGGTCAGGTATTTCGTAAGTGTTAGTATCACATTCACGTTGATTTGTGTTTGGTACTATGCTCGACATTGTGACTCTATTTGATTGATTGCTTGGTCTCTGTTTTTTAATTGCCCGATGCCTGAAATATACCAGACACTGGATCCATCAGTACAAATATTGTTCTTAAAGGAAATAATGATAAAATTAATGCATTGTATTGTTATGGATGCCATGTAACTTTATTATTAGCAACACATGTAAAATTGTTACTACTATTTATTACATGATTTTCGGTGGTTTATAGAAATATATCAGTGATATAAAAACTGGTAATTTCACTATTTGAAACAGTGAAATTACCACTTTGATAATTTCACCGTTTTGAATTTAAGCCCCTTACGTTGTTTCAGTGAAATACCAGCGTACACAGTACTGGGTACCAACTTAATGACGTGACGTAATAAACGACGTCACGTTGTATAATTATTTGGCGCGATTTTTATTCAGTATTAGGTTTTATGTCTTTTTAAAACGTTTCTTTGCATGTAATAAAAAGAAAATTTGTTTAGTTTAGTGTAAGATCGAAATATATTTCACCTTGTGAACACCAAAATTCATATTTCACTCGTGGCTGCGCCACTCGTGAAATATACCTTTTGGTGCTCACTCGGTGAAATATATTCAGATCTTACACCGAACTAAACAAATATCCTCTATGTACTTTTAAAAACAACATCGTAATTAGAAACACATTTGAAACTGTTACTACTCATAGTACAAAAATATACAACTATTTAACAAATTTTATGTATCTACAAATAGTTTGTAAAACAATAACAGTACTAAAACAATGCTTTGACTAGCAACAACTGTGCAATACATTTAATCCCTAGAATAAGCTACTGTTGCTTCCAATCAGTATTGTAACGCACATGTCGCTTTGATCATTATTTTGCAATTCACACTATGTGTTTCAAATAGTTAAGTATCTCAGTCATTTATCGCAGAACAAAAAGGCACAAAGAAAATAAATAAATAAATAAATAAATAAATAAATAAATAAATAAATAAATACGAACATTTTCATACATATAACGATTACGAAAATGATTACCAATATGACAATGACACTGCCACCAAATACCGGTAACACAATCAGGGCTACAGTGCAATAATAAGTCGTAAAATGTCAACAGAACCAATGCAGGAACAAGTTGTTCTAAGCTTATTTTGTTCTGTTTTTGACAATTATTCTATTTTGTTCATGAAATATAATTGTAGGTTTTATCTATTACAGAACATATGAAAATAAAGATCAACAATGAAGAAATTCTTAGATAACATATTTTAAGTTTAAATTAAAAAGTTTTATCTTTTATAGAATAAATTATGTGCTACAATTAATAACTTTATTGATTCATTAGTCTCACGTTTCTGTTATTTTTATCTTAATACACACTTAGTATATGGTTGTTGTCTTCGTCTGTTGTTTTTTCATTATACTTGTTTGTACTCACTCCTGAACTTGAGTCAGGATCTAGCGATGATGATGCCATTGATGTTGTAGGACCAGGCAATGTACGGTCACATAGAACATTGAATGATATATCTGTAAAAGGTCTTCAAACGTTAGGTATAATATATATACAGAAAACATCACATGAGAATTCGCAGCCGGACCTCGAACCCCAGATTTTATATTGCCGGGTCAGTATGCATGCTAACCACTACACCACAGCAACCATTGCATTTTTCTTGCGTGCTTATTGACATAATGCATTTAAGTTATTTTTTAAAACTTATATTCTGTATGAATGTAAGTAAATCATCTTGTCAGTGACTCATTAAGTCTAACCTGATCAGAATGAATTGTTTTTGTTTTATCAAAAGATTAAGCTGATGATACAAAACATCTAAATGTTTTAATAAATATCATTTCTCATTAATAGATTATTGATAATCAATTGGTCAGTTATAAAGACTAGGTTAACATTTGATATGACGGATTTCTAAAACTGTAAAACAAATGGAATGGTTCACATGATTACATGATAGTGACATAGTTCTATCTTTTAGACAAACAGAATCACGATAAAGACTGATTTTGTAATGCATTGGATATCAATATCACCAGTAAATCATTCATAAAGCAGGTACCTAGTATGCCCATAAGTGGTTTATATGGTTGAAATAATATGTAGAAGTTATCTGACGTTATCTTCATACCTGACGAAATCATCAAGCAAGCACCTTCATGTGTGTAACGATCATTGGTAAGGACAGAAAGTGTTAGACTTCGATCCTCTGGTGTGAATGTATATTTCTCTCCTGACTTTATTTCTTTATCGTTGACTGTAAAGCTTAAGCTTTGTGGAACCATATCATCAACAAAAGAGAATGAAATATCGACATTTGAGATCTTTGAAATTTTGGAACTCTTGATGTAGATATGTAGACAATTTTGCTTGCTGTCAAGGTGTTGATTGTACCTATTTCTACAGCTAGATGTAACAAAGAAAAAGAAACGTTTAAGAAATATTATAATCGATTCATACTTTGAATGTAAATTGATCCAACAGTATACATTTTCCTTATAAAAATATTATTGGCGTATTTTTTTGCATATTTTTTTTTCTTTTCATTTCACATACTCTCGGCGTTAACTTCAAGGAAGAGATGAACGTATCGTTTAAATTCTGTAATTATATGCATTATTATTAAAACAACATGGAATATTTGTTTATCTTGTAATGGAACTATAAGCTTGTTAACTTCTCGAGAAGATACAGACAATCATAAAGGCGGGATATACAAACTTGTATATTTGTATATGTATTTGTGTAATCAGGACTGTGATATTTTGTAGATTACTCTATATAATATGGAATTTTAATCGAAGTACTGAAAGAATATCATCCTTTTTATATAATTTACATACACATGATAACATCGTACATTGTATTCTAAGAATGATACTTTCTCTAATGATCAACAGTTTTGCCAAATGTTCAACAGATATTGAGCGGTCACAAAATTAAAAGTGCAACTTTGATCTTGATCTAAAGAATCCAAACGTGTCTTTTGAATATTGCCGCATTATTGTAAATATTTCTGTGAAGAAATTTCTTTTTCCTCCCATCGTGACAAATACTTCCGAGAAGACACAAATGGTTAAGGAACTGGCGGACGACCAAGGACCAATCGGAACATCTCGAATAAAATCAATAATCACATTGGACTTAATACGGATTGAAATTAGTCGTATCACGTATTTTTAGTTATATGGACACCACAGGGTGTTATCTTGATAATGTTTAACGTATGTATATATTTAAAATCGTAAGGAAAATTAAATATATTTCGGTAAATTTATGATTGTCTGAAAATCGTTACCAATTTCCTCAAATGCTCAATGATGTACAATTATAACCAAATCCGAATAATGTCGACATGTTGTACTTTCGGTTTCTACAACCATAATAAGAAATATAGATTTTAATGTACTGTTAACTGTTATATCTGTAAATTTACTTAATTTAGATGGACTATTACACAATATATGGCGACAAATTTTGACTTAAATACCTAGCATTAAACTACTATTTGTTTACATTGTTGTTTAGTTTCTTAGCGTAGGTTAGACATAAATACTGTATCCTTAAATATTGTGTTCGAGGTCTTTATCCGAAGTTTGACGGAAAAGCCAGAACCAAAGGTATAAAGTTTTTACGCAGAAATTCATTTTGGCGCATAAAAGAGAGTTGATGGGGACAATGATATATATTTTGATTACAATCAGTACAAGAAAAGAAAAGCATTGATGCAAAGCATCAAAGGGCGTCCAAGCAAGAAATGCAGCAAGTGAAGATGAACAAGTAGACATAAAATATACTCCCCATATGGTATAAGTTTATTTATACTATAAAGGAAGTATTTTTGGATATAATCATTAATATTGGTGATTTGATAGAATTTCAAGTTCATGTGGTTTTTTCTTTAGAACAAACAAAATAGTAGTCAAAATCTAAAACAAAAAATGAAATCAGGGTCGATTTTAGAAAAAAGAGACTTGAACAGCGGATAGATTTTATAGTATACTACTGCTAAACCTGTTAACTGTCGCACAACGTCAAAATAAACGACATATAAAGTTATGAACTATGAAGGTCAAAATTGCTATACGAAGTAAACGTGTTTTTCGTTAACAGCAGGAAAAATTGATTTAAAAGTGTAATATTGGATATAAACATTTAGAAAAATATGTATCTGAATGGAAATTTAATGCAAATTATGAATCTGTAAACGGTTTTTGCATTTATTTTGGAAAAGGATTATTAATTGAATAAGAAAGGTCAACAATAGTTTATGAGAAATCGCACGATTTTCATGTGTAACACGTAGCTTATTTGAGCGTGTTCAGTCGACAATAACAGTGTGTGCTTGTCTCTCTGCATATAACAGTGCATAAACAGCATAACTCTGCAAAATGGCAAAATATAAGGATACTGCAGCGAGTGCGAGGGCTAGGTCGAAAGTTGTTAAGGGAATGAAACAGTTAACAAGAATTCAGAGCCTGATACATCTCTTCCTGCTAGTCCAGTAGCACTACCTAAGACACAGAAAACAGGCAAACAAAATGATAAACATAGTGATGTATTAACACAACCTACTCTTGATAAACATTTAAAATCATATACTACCTCTGATGATATGAGCGACTTACTAAAGAACATGCAGAAAGAACAAACTTGCCTCACAAGAATTCATTGAAACGAAAATGAAAGAAATGATAACAAAATCAATTCTTTAATTCTTACTAAGAAACTTGATGATTGAAAACACTCAATAAGAGCAGATGTTCAGAAAGAGATTAACAGTGTTAGAGAGGAAGTGAAGATTTAAGTAACACGAATTTCAACGCTGGAATCCAATGTTGAAAACAATGAGGAACACAATATCAGATTTAGAGAGGAAATCGGATGTTATTGAATCTGAGAATGCTAGATTGAGGAATGATAAAGTAGAATTGGAAGAAAAAGTGAAGGCACAAGATATGAGAATCATATCAGGTGAGATTAAAAACAATAATCTTGAGCAGTATACGCGTCGCAAAAGTCTCCGCCTGTACGGTGTTTCAGACAGTCTAGAGGAAACAGAAGAACAAACATGTAATAAGGTGATGAAAATTATGGACGATAAACTGAAAATCAAAATTAACAGGTCAGATTTAGACATAGCCCATAGAATAGGAATCTACCAGAAAGATGGCAACAGAGTAATAATTTGTAAATTTGTACAAAGATTGCTGAAATTAGAGGTGCTGAGGGCTCGAAGAGCTTTAAAGGGCTCCGCGTACGTTATTAGGGAAGATCTTACTCATACTAACGAAAAACTGCTTGAATCTGTATTAAACCATGATAAAGTTAAAACAGCATGGAGCGATGAAGGTAGAATTGCTGTCCTGCATAAAAACAATAGAAAGTTTACAGTGAGACAACTTGGCGACCTGGATGCCGTGTCAGTACCAATTTAGTAGTGCAAAACAACTTAATTACTTCTGGTTCAGAAACTTTAATCATCTTTTTTATGTAATTACTCCAAGGAGAGAAATCAATAAATAAAATAGAAATGACTGAACTACTATTTAAATTAATAAAACAAATTCATTCTAAAGATTATGTTTAAGTAATGTTGCGTGCACACCATGTGTTTTTGCTCACGTGTCATTATAATTGTTATTATACTTTGCCTCATGGGTATTCTATTACAGTCGTTTATGATTGGCTAATGACTGCTATTTTTATCAAATCGCATTAGCGCGCTTAGTCACATGACCAAATCGAAATAGTCTGCCGAGTGAAAAAATCAAAACAAAAATGGCTGCGCCCATTGGTTTTGTGTAAGGTTTTTAAAAAAGCATTTATATTTACGTACTGAATATTAATTTAAGCTAAATATGTTATATTTCATCTTCTATAAAGTAATATGAGGTATTTTCGCGATGATTAACTTATGCTGTTATGCATATTATGTTTAGGAAAATACACGTATACATGCGCTTTTTCTCTAGTCGGCAAATATTTAAATAACATTTTATGACTCTTGTTTGAGCACGATACTTTGTGGTGTATTTTGCAACAATTTCAGTGACGGTACAGTATGTAGGGCACTAGCTGGTGAATTTGAGTGGTCAAGCTTACTTTTCAAAGTCCGCGAGGCACGGCATAACAGTATTATGCTTGTCAGTGACTATTCTGTGTTAGTAATTTAGTTAATTATTTATTTAAACTGAAACGCATCTGGAAAATTAAAAAATTGAATGACAATATCATACAATCACAGACTTTTGTTAAAAATTGTTGTACACTTAATCACTTTTTTGTGTACCAAATTATTGCTTCATTGTGTATTTTGATTTTTTTCTCTATTCTTTGTTTACCTTTTTAAGGAACTATGTTTGCATTATTGTTCAACTAAAATTAATTTTCATGTCATTAGAGTTTGGAAAATTTCAAAAAGGTAATTCATACTGGAAAGTTAACAATTCCCTTCTTCGAGTATTTATGTAAATAAAGTAAAAATGGTTATTTTAGATACAAAAACCCAATATGCAACAAATGTATTGTTTGGTTTTATTAACCTGTCAAATACATACTGATTACACGGTCGATGCACACAATATATTAATCTTCGGTAGATTTTCGGTAAGTTCCGTGAGATGTACGCTTTACGATGGTATTTAATTTAATTTGTATGAATGAACTAAGTGTACTCAGCGTTATAGCGCAATAGGGTAAAGCACGAGTTTATAATCTAAGTGCCATACGTGTTTTAAGTTCGAGACCGCGTTGGTCCATGTTTTTTTCTTATTAATACTTTCAACATTATTGAGGCTATATGCGATTATTATTTTATTCCTTTTATTATGTTTTACTTAAAAAAGTCTATACTATTTTTAAAATTTAAATTTTTAACATGTTCAAATAATTCCTGTTTAAAATTAAAACGGATTAATATCAATAATTGTCATTTCAATGCCGTAAAACACACTACAAATAATCGGTTCCATTAATTATACTGCAAAAATAAAGAAAGAGTAGGCCTTAAACAATGTCATCAGTAAGGATCGAACCACAGACCTCTCAATTATCAGGCATTCTCTTTACCGACTGTGCTATTGTGAATTAACGAAAGCCTCCACATTAAGGTTGCATGACTTTCAAAACATGACCAATATACTCCACATTAATTCTCGTAAACTACACGGAACAAACCGAAGTGGGATCGAATATTTAAATGAGTGCTATAATGTATTCATAATTGACAGGTCAATAAAATCAGACTATAACAGAAAATTATAATATTCCCTGATGTGAGATTTGATATCAATGATCAATTATTTTTTGAGACATTATTAATGAATATTAGAG